AATAATAAATAATGTTTTCTTTAATACCAAGAGCCTCCCCTCCCTGATAAAAATAATTGGTCTGTGTTCTACGCGGGTTCTCCATTGCATGCGAAGCAATGGACGACTTCACGAAGACTTCAGAAGGTCGTTGAAGCGAAGTTCAAGTCCAAAGTATCTTAGGAGGAACCATTGCAAATCCTTTTTCTTAGCTCTTGTTTCCTCTAAGCTTTGAGGTATCTACAACATCACTGAAAGAGCTAGAGCAGCTTAGCTCCACGTATTCCAATAGAGTTAAAGCGTTTGTTATTTTTGGTAGTGACAACAGTCGTAGTTCATCCTTTGTCGCATTTTCGGCAATAAGCCGCAAGCGTGCTCGACGATACAACAGGTTGACGTTATGTAACAGGCCGTTTACACATTTACTAGCTTTGACCTTACAACGAGAGCTAGTACGGTGACTGGGGTTTTTCACGTAATGTCTTGATGTTGAACAACTCAAAAACAAAATTCCATCGTGAAAAAAGTTCGACTAAATTCCCTTCTGAAAAACACGTGTGTATTTAAAGTGGAAAATGTTTGATATGAGCATTCAATTCTTGGATTTAATTCTATAATCATTTTGTTTAGTTATGTAAATAAATTTAACACTGTTTATCTGAGTGAAAGGAGAGCTGCGGGTTTTCCCTTTCCTTTATTTACACTTTCAAATATGACCGCTTAACAAAAATGCACGGGCTCACTGGCTTACAACCTTGGCTAATTCATATGCAGGCCTGGTCGCAAATCAATCACCCAGATGTCATACAAGTGGAAGTTACCCATGAATCATTGAGCACTTTCATGCTCAGCATGAACAACCGTGAGGCATTGCGAGCATTTTCATGCTCAGCATGAACAACCGTGAGGCATTGCGAGCATTATCATGGTACGTACAGGAGCCAATGGCGGATTTAGGCACGTAAACGCTAATAAGTAAAGAGAAAGTTAGTCGGAAGCTGATTCTTATTGAAATTTTTAATAACTTGGATATGTGAGTTATAGTTGACGCTCGTAGATTACAATTTATGTCTTCCAATGACTTCTACATCTACATCGTATAGTCTTTTGTACGACAGGTAAGCTTCTTAAGTCAATAAGTTTAGTTTTTTTTAATCAAGCCAACCGAAACTGGAATACACGCGTAAATTTCGAACAAGTTAAGGTGTTTCCAAATCTATGTTCTGACAAACTTAGATRTCTTGGGAGGAACCTATAGAAATTTCTTGGTATACATCAGCTGCTGCTATTTGCTCTTTGTATATGGCGATGTCCCTCTCTGAGGCAGTCACTACCAATTCTGCGCAGTTGACGTTTTGGGCAATTTCCGCTGAAAAAAAATCAAAGGATTGTTGATTGAACAGTATTTATGCATTATTGACCCAGGTTAAGATTAATTTTTTATTGGAGTAAAGTGTAGAGAGTACAAGTGAGAATGGAATATTCAAACAAGAAAACTGTAGAAAAGTAAGGAAAAAGAGAAGTTAAAGTAAGAAATATTAACTTAATCTTACCTTTCAGTGTTGTGTCCACCACTACATCACAGGGGAATACCAAGAAGTTCAGAAAGTCTTTCATGTTGTTGACAAAGTTGCTGTAGACTGTGTTGTTTGTGTCAAAATTATAAGTCTGCTTAACAGCATTGGATGTTTTCTTTAAAACAACCACTGGTGAAACAGTATGTGGAAAGTGCTTATCTGAGTAAAAAAGTAGCTCGTGTTAAGGCTCATACATTGTACCAATTATTATGCTGTTACAGGACTGATAATATATTCTTGAAATATTTGTAGAATGGATAGCATATAGATAGTTCTGTATCACAATGTTTCTTTTTACCTGTCACTTGTGCCTTTTGTCCTTCTGAAACCTTTAACAGAAGTACATTAGTTAGTTAGTTAGTTAGTTAGGCGGATGACTCCGAGATTTGACAATGGCACTCCAAACGACCCTGTCTTCCATCAACGTAGCCAGCTCGTGTGAGCTGATTGCCCCTGTGTCGCGCTTGAGGGTGTCTACATAATTCGATTGAGGTCTTCCTCTGGACCGCGTTCCGTGAGTTGGTTCCCACAGGATCAATTTTCGGGTGCTTAGTTCAAGGTGGCGGTAGCAGTGTCCTGCCAGACGTAGTCTGCGCTCAGCAATCTTCACATCCAGCCTTGGTAACTCTCCGTACACTTCATCATTAGTAGTGCGGGAGCTCCAGTGCACATTCAGGGCTTTCCTCAGCATACGGGTATAGGCACCACTGAGTGATTTCACCATAGACTCCGTCATGGACCAGCTTTCACATCCATACAGCAAGATTGACTCGACTGTGGCAACAAAGAATCGTTTTTTCAAAACTGGGTTCATAGTGGACTTCCAGATGTTGGTCATGTCGTTGAGGGCTTTCCAGGCTAGTGCTTTTCTGATATTGACGTCTTTTATCGACTTATCAACCCAGGAGCCRAGATATTTGARATCGTCTTTTTGCTCCAACACAGTTCCTGATCTGGTTACTAGAGGAGTGTGAACGTCTATGTTGTAGGCCAGGTACTTTGTTTTGGGACCATTCAATCCAAGCCCTACTTTGCTGCATTCTGTCTCAACTCTGAGGAGGAGCTMTTGGGCTTGTATGATGGCATCAGACAGAAGAGCAATGTCATCTGCGAAATCGAGGTCGGCAAGAACGACTTTTGGGTACCTTCTGGATCTTCTGGGAGTTATAGTGAAACCTAATTCGTCTTCCTTCCCATCCGACAATGCTTTCCTCATAGCATGGTCAAGCACGATGATAAATAGGAACGTCGCGAGTGTGTCTCCTTGAAGGACTCCAGCAGAGATGTCAAATTGTTCTGTCACTCCGTCAGGTGTCGAAACTCTGGCCCTCGTGTTTGTATACATTGATTCAATTGCTCTTAACAAGTTAGGAGGAATGCCATAGGCCTTTAGGATACGCATCATTTTTG